GCGACAACACCTTACCATCACAATGGACGGAGAGCGAGTTAGCCTCCTGGCTGTTATCACAGGCCACGAATGTTAGGACGGATCTAAAACCAACTGTAGATCTATTTGCGCAAGGCTTTGACAGGTGTGAGCTTTGTTTAATTGGTGGACGTTCTCGCTGAATTGCTCCCCAGCTTGAGTGCCACATACCTTAGGAATCGTCTCATCAGCGCCCTAAAGAAGTCCTCTGAACCAGGGATTCAAAGGATTTCCTCCCTCATCACCCAAAACATTATCTTTGAAAACCCCACTATTCAATCACTAGCGCGGAAGGTCGCCGCCCTTGTTGCATGCGCGGACGGGACTTCCGAGTCTTTGCGAGACTCGCACATTCATGCAATCGGGGCTATGATCGAAAAGTACTCTGCCGAATTCGTGAAACTTGACTCTGGCTCAGTGGAGAGACCTGCAAAGCGAGCCAGGCTTGATGGTAGGCATGTTGTGCTCCTTACTGGATCCACCGGGACACTGGGATCCTATATGCTTGCCGATATTCTCGGACGGCCAGAGGTCTCGACAGTCTATGTTCTCAATCGATTTTCGGCGGCTCCGGGGACATACAGCAGCATGCGTCAGCTCCAAGCATTCGAGGAGAGAGGGTTGAATACGCGACTCCTTACCTCGTCGAGGAAGATTCATTATCTTGAGGGAGACATCTCTCAGGACAGATTGGGTTTGACAGCTCCTACTTACGAACGGGTTTGTTCTCTCTCCTCTGCTCAGCTAGCTCATCGCTGAAATGACTCCTGAAGCTCAGATGTTCAGTGACCATGATCATTCACAATGCGTGGCGCGTCGACTTCAATTTGGCCCTTTCCTCTTTCGAGCCTAATATCCGGAGTACGCGGATGCTTCTCGATCTAGCACTCGCTTCTCCCCTTGCCGCTTCTCTACGGTTCATATTCGTTTCGTCCATCGCATCCGCATTGAGTTGGGATACAAGTCAGGGTCCGGTCCCGGAGAAACTTCTCAGTGATCCTTCTATGGCAATAGGTTCTGGATACGGTGAATCAAAGCACGTCGCCGAACAGGTAGTTCACTTCATCACCTGAGTAAAATTCAGTAACTCAGCACTCCCTAGATCATTGCGCGATCTGATTTGAAAGCTACAACACTCCGAGTAGGACAGATTACTGGTGGACCTACTGGGGCTTGGGCGACGACTGATTGGGTTCCCATTCTTGTGAAGTCAAGCTTAGCACTCGGTTCGCTTCTTGACCTTCCAGGGGTGAATCTTCTTTCGCACGATGCTAGTTTGGTTTACGAACCTTGATTTTTAGGTCGTGTCATGGACACCTGCAGACCGCGTTGCAGCAGCAGTTCTTGACGTTGCCTTGTCTGAGACCCATGCCCCACTTGTCAACATCAACCATCCTAGGCCTGTTCCATGGCGGACCATCTTTGAGGGCGTGAGAGATGGGCTTGTGGAATCTGGAGAAACAAAAAATGCGTTGCCGCTGGAGCCCTATTCAGGGTGGATGCAAAAACTGGAGCGACGTGCCCAGGGTGCAAAAGAACGCGATTTTAAAGAGGTCGTAAGTCGAATCTTCGTTGGTGGATGAAGATTATCAGCTGATTTTGCCGTCTTAGCCGGCGCTCAAAATTCTCTCTTTCCTCCGAGGTTTTTTGCAGCCACAGAATGCTGAATCTATCTCTGGCGATGCGGAGGCAGGTAACGGCCTGCAGCTTGTGACGGACAAGGCTTGCTCACTGAGCAGCACGATGCATCGTCTTTCTACACGGGAATCCGAATGGCTTGGACCGAGCCATGCGCGGGCGTGGGTGAAGTACTGGAAAAGCAAGGGATTTTTTCAATAACATTTTCTGCTTGCTATACTCACTATCGTGTATAGCTAGCCTGTACGAGTGTTCTCGATGGACCACATATTTGTTGTAGATCTACTGACCCGCATAAAGTCCGACATTATCCATGCAATCACTACGTGTATCCACGCATGTACGAATAGTTTACTAGAGGTCCTTCGTGTCCTTTCTAATATAGCAATTCACCTACTACCAGTACTTATAATTATAGTGTTACATCGATACTTGCAATACCACATTGTACAATCGGTCTATGCTCAACTTCTGGGACGGAGCCTGGCGAATGCGCACACAAGCGAGCTTTGCATGGCGCTTTCCCGCTAGCTGCAGGTAAAAGTCGATGGACGGGAGGTAACGGATGTATTTTAGGGATCTCCAGCGTTGGTGCGTGTGGATTTGGGAGATCTAACGTTTTGAGCGCTTCAAGGCCCGCTGGTGGACGGTGCCACTCTGAATCAGTTTGAGGATTCGAGCCAGACAAGGACGGTGGCGAAATAGAAGGTGCCAATGAAGGATACCTCGTCACTCGGCTGCTCGAGGGAGATATTGTCGATGAGCTATAACCGCTCTTCCTGAATGCGTCGTTGGAGGAGAGGAGGGGGAACGAAGTGAGTTCGGGGGCTGTGGAGGGTGTGGTGTGAGAGAGTGCGACCGAGACAGAAGATGATCTTTCGAGTTCTGAGAAGGTGAGGGATGGCTTTTTCTGCATTTCAGAGTTTGTTGAGACGTCACGGGAGGGAGGCCCGCTTGTTGATGTCGAACCTTCCATGACAGTGCTTAGCTCTGATAGCTTGAATGACCTTGAATATCTCTGGGATGCTCTGCCCCTTCTTGATGCCTGGGATGGAAGCTGGGGTTCTGGGGGATGGGAAGAATGCTGTGCGGATTCTTGTGAATAAATGGATTCAGGGCTGTGAGCGTCGACTTCGCTGCCTGCTATCCGAAGCTGGTGTACCTCCTCTCGCGGTTCTTTCGGGGTGGTATATTCGGCTAGTGGACTGAGAATTGATATCCGCGGCTTGGGTGGAGTTGGAGGTGCGTCTGCGAACGAATGAACGGTCTCACTTCCGGTTTGAGATGATGTGGATTGGGGAGGATCTGCCGACGAAAACGAGGGGGTACTTTCCCGACCTGAGAAAAAGTCCGGACCCGAGTGACGGGCGAGAGTGCGATTGATGAAAAGCGGGGTGTTTGGCCCAGGGTTCTTGGCTGTGTACTTGGAGTACTGTTCAAGCGGAACCTCATGCGACACCCTGCGCGAAGACGCGGGGATGGGATGTACTGGAGATGTGGGGAGTATTGCCCTTTGGATGCGGGCGAATGGGTCGTCGGTGTCGTAGAGGCTGAAATAGTTGGGATCTGTTGGTATGTTGGGTAGGACGGGAGGGAGATATGACCAGTCTAGTGGTATTTGTGGGGCTGAGATTGCTGGGATACTATCCTGTGATGTCTGCGGAGGAGAAGATGGAAGGAGAGGCTCAAGAGATACAGATGGTTGTTGCCCGTGACCGTACCGTCCATGGACCCCAAAGCTCGATCCTCCCGACACAAATTCTTCCTCTGGATCTACTGCCCTCCCTCTCTTGCGAAGCTTCATAAATTTTCCTTTACTTTTCCTCCAACACCGCAAATAGAAACATGCAGCTGCGACCACAGCTACGCCTCCTACAACTCCAATGACGATTCCTGCGATAGTTTCGGTGGATAATGTGGGGCTTGCATCCGAATGGGTAGAAGTAGATGTCATAGTGGACTGAGTGTTTTGTTAGTGAAGGCAATTCAGTCGATGCGATGGGGTACCAGAAGGGCCTTTATTAACCGCTAAACCAGCAGACGGTGAAATTATACCGACACACGCTTATATGCCGGGCTTGGCGGGCGCTCACTGCAAGTGACGGTTACTAGTTGAGCCGCAGCCCTGGCTGTGGTCCATGGGGTAAATTTAGTGCGAGCGTCTAACAATATCGATATAGCTGTGCAATAAAAACCACCGTAACTGTTCTTCATGCCCTACACCTAGGAAGCACCCGAGACGTCGACCTCACACGCTTCTAACATAATCAAGGGTCGACCGGACAAAAGCGCTTCATCTGCAGGTAGGCCATCGATGGGCATGGGCCCTACTGTCGGTTGAAAGCTTGTGTGAAGTGGATGTCTGTGGCACGTACTCAAATTGCAGGAATGTTTCCGCGCTGATCATGGTGGATCATGGATGACTCTTTAGCCAGCGCTCAACTACCTTTTGCATTGGACACGCTGTCGATATGTTTTCTTGATCGGAACCATTGTGACGTTCTGTGCCGTCACTCTCCGCACGGTCTTGATATAGCTTGGAGCAGCATTGATAGAGCCTTTTGAGATGTGCGTCGCATTTCTCCGGAGAGTACGTGTTTGCCGAAATGCATGTTTGAAGTGCACAAGCTTATTATGTATTAATTGAAACGAGAAAACAGAACATGGAACTATAACACACCTTCGGCTTGGCAAGATTGCCTGGGTTCCTGGTGATAGGCAAGTCCGTCGATTGGTGAGTTTCAGTTTGATGAAATGAGAGCAATGGGCTTCACCTGTTTCATCCCAAATGCAAGAAGGGAACAATGTTACTGCTAGTCATGGGCTATGTCGTTAGCGCTAAAACGTGATGAGGTTTTTGTCACAGCCACCTCGTCACGGTTACGGTTATCACTGTGGCACTGCCAACCTCGAACCCGAAATGTGTTTTTGCTTCCGCTACGGTCACCCGCACCCGCACTAGCCTTAAATATTAAATTGGGGTACTTGTACGTATGAATCGATCTTGACTGAAATCTACTTAAGTTGCGCTCGCCAGCTTTAAGCGAAATCGAGCGCTTCGAAAGAATAGCTTGAACGTAAACGATAAATTTTAGTAGTATCCACGCGGTTGGTGTCCTCCGGGTGATCAATGCGATAGCTATGGTCCTCGAGAATTGATTTGGAACTCGTCATTCGAATTTTGAAGGCGGTGCTGTTTTCTCACGGTGCAGGATATGATAATCGGATATTCGAGGACCTTCAAGGACCCACTCCTGTCTACAATCTCATAAAGCACTCTTTGTATATTTCATACCCGCCGACCTCGAAAAGTCTTGTTGAGCTCAAGCTTTCAACGACCTCTCTTTGGTTTGAACGTTCATTATATCCATGGATCAACCAGATCTGACAACTAATGCGAACATAGGAACGCGATCTTTGTTATTATCATCAGGGCCGGTGCCACGACCCCAACTTTTTATCTGTCTTTATACAGGACTGTGCTGGAACGGCATAGCAACTCGTTCCCCTTCAGGTGAACTCTTCCAGGGGGATCCTTAAGAGTCGCCACTGGCACGCAGATTCAGCACGTCAGCCGCATGCCCATCCTTTTTTGTTTAAATAACTCGATCCTCTGCATTTCCCAACGTACCATTTCTCTGTCTTTCCACCATGCCAAAGCGTATCCCCACCCCTCCTCCTGGAGACGATGAACCTCGCTACCTCACTGTCGTTCATCCTTACGTCCTTGACGGTCATTGCAACATGGAGTTGCCCAAGGATAGACAGGATTTTGCGCGTTGGGTAGCATGCTGCATCGATGCTAAGTATTTTTACGCGTTTTTTCACAAGCCCAGTGTAAGTGGTCGTGTGGATCGTCTCTGCGGTGTATGTGGCTGACCTTCGTCTGTATGACATCTCCATCAATCAGGCACGCGACATGGTTATCATCGAAATAGCTCGCGAATGCCCAGAACTCGATCGCTTACTCGGCGAGCATCGCTGGAGGGAGTTCCTGAAGAAGTCGTCCAAACAAGAACAGGATCAAGTCTCGAAGGTATTTTATTGCACTTATAGCACTGGAAGACAAGTCCAGAAGAATGGTGAGTCAAGCAATCCATTTGATTTTTGCCGGGCGGCAGATTCCTCCTCGATAAGCTTGATCGGTTGTGTAATAATCGAGGAATCTTCTATGAACGGATCAGGTGACTAATACCATATCGGATTTCCCTCCCAGGCTGGAAGCGCATATACGTCGAAGACGCTTGGTTTAAAATGTGGTCGCCGAACAATCAGTAGGTTCCCATCATCCATAACCTGCAGCTGCGTAACCTGACGGACCATGTCATCCTTCCAGTTTAATCACTTTCCCATACCCTGAAACCCATTTTTGTGAAGTGCCGATCGAGGATCAGACCAATCATCCCATGTGTAGGCCCCTTCCGGGCGCCGTAAAGCGCCCTCCCCCTGAGGCGCTGATGGCTCCTCCACCAGGTAAGCTTGCGGTTCTTTTGCCTCCTGCCGTATTTCCTGTCTAATCTATCAATACCCTTGCTACAGTCGTCGGTTCCGAACAATGGACCACCGACAAACAGGTTCCTGCTCCCATTGCGAGGTGGACCAAAGGCGCCCCGAAGTTTACAGCACCAGTTGGCAACGCATGGAAGGCTGCTATCGCTGCTTCCTCTCCGCCCATCCCTGGGCTCAAGAAGCAGCCCGCAGTTGGCGGCGGACCTATCGCAGTGAAAGCATCTGATGTTTGTACGTCGTGAACTTTTTTTTCATTCTGAAGCACCATTGATGCTTAGCGCTTCCTTTGTTTCACGATAAGGGGTCGGCCTTCCTGCGTCCTCAGGACTTGGACCGAACGGGTGGTCAGACTCCCCCACTGGATCTGGAAGGAATACTCCTCCAAGCGGGGCACCCTCTCCTTTACCCAGAACAATATCTAATCAATCCCCCACCATCCCTCCCGGTCTGAGTGGTCCGAAAGCTTGGGATGATGGAACATCCTACCCTACTCATCCTCCTGGAATTCCGGCAGTACACAACGCATGGGGCGCTCCTCGCATTGCAACGGCGCCTAGCCTCGATCGCGATAACACAAGTATCGCTAGCTGGAGCTCTAACGGAGGGTCTTCCAATGCCAGCACCGATATCGTACTTACTCCTGAGGACTGTCCATACAGGGTTCAAGTCCAAATCTCGGACAGTATGGAACGAGCACTGGACGGGTTGTCAGTCCATGACGGTGATATGGATCCCGATCTCGCTGAGCTGGACTCGATCGCACCCGGGAGGTGGGATGAGCCCGCGAGTACTGACGTTTGGCCTACTGCGGATGGGGCTACTTGGGACGATGCTCCTGCAGATGCCGAGGCGCAGTGGATGGAGCTGAACGATAACAAGGAGCAGGAGAAGCCAATTATATGCAACGCCCATGGAATCATCTGCAGGAAGGGAATATGCAGGGAGTACGCGAAGCAGGTTCGCGACGCGGAGAGAGCACAGAAGGATACAGGTTCGAACAACAAGAAGGGTAAAGGCAGAGGCAGAGGCAGGGAGTATGGCAGAGGCGGGGGAGAAGGAGGGGGAAGGGTAGGTGGTGGTGGAGGCACCGATCGTGGTGGACCTCCTAATAATGCATTCCGAGGTCGTGGCGCGCCCGTGAAGTCCAATTGGCGAAGCGCTCCTAGGGCCATCGTATCCGCCGCTGCCATGGAGCGCCGGGAGAGCCTCAATGAAGCGGAATCCGTCGCAGCTGAAACTGCGAATGGATGGGGAAATCCGTCAAATGCCTCATGGAATGCGGGCGAAGATGTGCCTGAAGAGGCAGAGCCTGCGGGCAATGGCGCGCCTGAGCCGTCTAATGACGGCTGGGGCCAATCTGAAGCTAGCTTTGACCCTTGGCTTATCCCTTCGGAGCCCAAGCCCAAGCCTCAGCAGAAGCCCGCGCCCCAATCTCAGCAAAGGCCGAGACTTCAGACCCAGCAGAGGCCCCAGTCGCAGTGGAAGTCTCAGCCCAAGGCTCAGTCCCAGTCTCAGTGGAGGCCGCAGCAGAAGCTCCAATCGCAGCAGAAGTTCCCACCGCAGCAGAAAGCCCAGGCGAACACCAACACCAACAACGCCTGGGTCAAGCAGAGGCCTTCCACTTCATGGGCAGATGAGGTGGATGCCCATAGCGCTGCTGGATACCCTGACGATGATGGGTTCTCCACTGCCAGTAGCAGGCGTGGTGGGCGGGCCCCGGTGAAGGCTCCCAAGAGCTCTACCAGCGGGTGGGGTACTGTCGACGAGAAGCCCTGGTAAGCATATCGAGCGGACACAATCGCAGGGTCGTCCCGTCTCCATATTTGTATTTTTTACGTGAAGTTCCATTCCTTGTACTACCATTCCCTGGGCGATATGTACCATACCCTGACAACTTTTCATACCTACCGTGACGTACTTCAGAATCATTTTTCGTTTTACCGCCTGTACATCCAATCAGCACTTACGATCATTGTCATGTACTATTGTATTGCATACTTCAAAGCCTCATGCACATGATTGCTCTGTGAAATGCATATTGTTGTACTTTCGCGACAGGCTTGTTTTATGATCGGCGTTTTCATGCATGCATCCGGGTCGTTCTCCCTTTTTGTGATTGCAAACCAAACTGCCATTTCTCACCAGAAATCAACAAGGGAAGGGTACATAAATTAAAGGTCGGCAGAGGACGATGCGAAGCTCAGCTCAGTCCAGCAGGTTATTATGCACAAGGTCGAGCGTGACTTAGATATAAACGTCATGCAATGGCAAGGACTATACTACGTGCATTGGGAATAAGTCGCCCGTGTTGAACCGCAATTTCACCGTGATCAGCTTAGAGCTAGTAGACTTCGTGTTGCTGACAAGACAAGGAATAACTGCGAAGTAAGTGCTATGTTCAAATTATGTACCGTAATACAACCCATTGCGTAGTCTGTCTGACACCGAGGCCCCAAAATTTCATCAAGAAGCGATAAAGGAACAATCGTGGCAGAAATGTAACATCTGGCGCAAATTTAGCTCCAGTCGCTCTATTTCCTCTGGTGTACAAGGGTCCGGTAGCGCGGAAGCAGGCAACGTGAGCAACTTCACCCATATATCCTCAGGCGCACGTTGAGCGACCAGCGGGAGATTGATGTGCGGAATGGCCAACGAGAATGTTTTCAGTCCTTCGAAAGGACCACGCACGATGCACAAAGACAGCATGCAGGGTAAAGAATCTTCCATTTGAATTTTGTCAACACAGTTGCACTGGAAGGGCAGGCATTTTTGGAAGGATGGGGAAAAGAGTACGGTGAGGTGTTGGATGGAAGCGAGGAAAGCATATCCATGGACAGACTTCACGAAGGGCGACCATTGATAACAGCAACTACCCAATAACGTCAAACTTTTCATGCTCAAAGGAAACAGAGAATTTTTGTGGTCGACATCTAAGTCGACATCGGAGTTACACAGATGTTTGAGGCACCTTGTGAGAAGACCTAGACTCCCAAATTTGATTGTGAGGGACGATACGCCGAGAATCACTGGAGCTAGCAGCCCGATATCGAACTCGCATTCAAGCTCTGGCATAGGAGGGGGTGTATCGGCAGCTGGGATGTGCACGGCCCCCCGAAACTCTTCAATTGACATCCTGTGCACGCAAGGTGCGTAATCAAAAGCTAGATCATGTTGTTGATCGATGTATGTTTTCTGCATACGCAGAGCCCGTACGAAAGCGAGTAGGTGGCGAGCTGTCGACAATAATACCGTGTGCAGAAGTTCAGGCAGCACAGCGCGCCTGACATCTTTGGAGACCTGGCATAGTGAAAGGGCAGATGAGTATGGGTCTCGGGTGTAAGGCACATATTGAGCAAAGGGTGGTTGTGCCGCATGCTTGAAGATGACGAGGGCGAGCTCAGTTGGAAGGTCGTTAAATCTAAATGAAGTGGGAGTAGGAGGTTCCATAATGCGCGAGTAAGAGACCTTGAAGCTGGTTTGACTCCTTTAATTAGGAGGTTTTGACGTGGCTAAAAATGACGTCAATGTGCGTCACAGCCGCGTTGGAACGGGCACGGACTGCAAGGGAACCAAGGCCAGACCTCTATGGCGGGAGGCTACGGCTCTGTCTATCGAGGACAGACTACGACACACGCGAGGACTACCGACTACGAGCCAGGACTCCTGCCACCGCGCCAGGACCCCTGCCACTCCCGTCCTGTCCTGCCAGAGCGCCCCGCTACATATGCCACCCCTCCAAATGCAACCGTCCGCGGTTGCAAGACGAAAGACGAACGTGCGGGAGTGCGGAAACCTGCGCCAGACCACCACCCTGGTACACCTCCCCCCTCTCCAAATGCAACCGTCCGCGGTTGTACCACGAACGACGAATGTGTGGCCGCAGTCCGAAAATGACGAGAATGCGGCGGCTGAACGAGACGGAGAGGTTTTTGACACCGGCAAGTAGGACAATGTGGTGTACTAGTAGCATGGTGGGAAAAATGATATGGCGAGTTGTCGAAGAATGTTGGATAGCGTCTCAAGTGTGAGTGATGTGGGAGTACTGCAAATACTGTGTGAGGGAGTTGAACATGAGTCCGCAAACGACGACGCCGGTACTGAAGACTGGACCATGGGTTGCGACAGGAAGTGCGAAGGGCCGAAAAATCGCGCGAAGGTCGAGTCTGAGCAACTGTGTAGCACACATCATCTGCCCAAGTGGGCGGGGCAGTATGAAGGTTAGTGTTGGTGATTGGCGAAGACGGTAGATAGGATGGCAACAGTACAGACGAACTCCATGCCTTCAACTGCGCAATGTCAGCGTCTCGACGATTCCTATCTTCCAACTTCTCACGACTCCGCTGGAGCTTGATGCTGGGAACTCGTAGCACATCTTCAACGAACTCGTCCCATGTTGAGTAACTGCATGTTAGGTGGTCCTTGAGGAGGTCGGGGATGCCCTCGAGCACATCCTCAATCAAATCTCCTTTTAAATCTCCCATACCCAAAGCAAGTTGCGAGATCTCAGTTGCCCATACAACATGCGCAAAGTTGCCGTTGGGCGCCAATGCTCCAATATCACCCTCTTTCAGTGCATGCGCAGCCACGCGCTCTCTCTGCTGCGCACGAGATAACTTGGGCGGTTTCAGAAGTGGCCACCGTTTGAAAAAAGCTATCGTGAGTGCCGCAAATGTGGCAGTTTGGACTGAGTTGAGTGACTGGAACCACTGGTCTGCCATTTGTCCGGGCACGAGTTGCATAGAGAAGCGCCGGACACGCTGAGTGTCGGTCCATGTTGTTGGAAGGGAGAGCTGGAATTCTGTGAACCACGTAGACGGTTCCTCATTGCCGCTATAGTCACCATAGAAGAGCGGGACAGGTTCTATAGACATGAATTTGAAATTCGGGGACCAGAAACCAAGAGAAGTCGAAAAGTAGACCGGAGCAAAAAAAATGTGAAAATGCGAAAACCAGGACTCAGATCTCAGATGTCAAGCACGGGGAGCGAAGACCACTCTCATCACCAGATGGAACGGGCACGGACTGCAAGGGAACCAAGGCCAGACCTCTATGGCGGGAGGCTACGGCTCTGTCTATCGAGGACAGACTACGACACACGCGAGGACTACCGACTACGAGCCAGGACTCCTGCCACCGCGCCAGGACCCCTGCCACTCCCGTCCTGTCCTGCCAGAGCGCCCCGCTACAGCGTCAAAGTAGCTACGCCTGGTGGATCCTTCGCGAGGCCCATCCGTGTATACATGGCTGAATGCACTCTGTTTCTTGTTAAAGTCGAGCAGTAAGTAGTAATTATGCAGTGATCGTAGTCATAAAAAGAAATGGTCGCGACCAAGCCCGAACGCACACACCACCCTGTCTTGGATGTGCACGTCTATACAAGTACCATACGCGTAACTAGACTGGTCGTGTTTTCCAGTGATTCCCTGCATAGGCTTTTTGAACTATCAGAAACGGATACCTTTTGAGATAGGGGGTAGCACTCACTATGCATTCCTTGAAGATGACACTGGAATTTATGATGCCCTCGTACAGTCTTAGCGACAATCTGTGGCAAGTGCACCGATGGAGCATTATCAACAGCGCCCTGGATCACCTGCTCATTCCGAGACGGAACGTTGATATCTGAAACTGTAGCCTTGAAGCGGGTCGCTTCTCTGACGTACGGAGCTCTAAGGTGCATAAATCTCAGTGATGTGAAGAATCCTGCATAGACTGCACCTCGTTGACAATAGCTGCAGTAACTGTGGTGTCCAACTGTACCCGAATTTCGTCCAGCGAAGAACAGCATGTCGCGAATTGTCCTACAATGACGCGCGCTGTCACATGACCGAGAAAACGTGGCATTTTTTCCTTGAGTGGTGACGTAACTCAAGGAAAAAGTGCCATGTGGCTTGCATCATACCCAACGAGAATATGACAAGAACATTCTCTAGCGTCACACTGGATCTTCCTGCAATTCATGCCTCCCTCACGTCTCACATAACATACACCGTGAGACGCGCCGAAGATTAGTTATGACACTAGTAGCGCTACAATTTGACACGCGCAAATACACAGCCACAAGACAGATGGAATAATCAATAAACACTTGATAGTATTTTATATGACGACATGCCCACTAGCAGCCCATTTCATTCGCAGCGCCCTGGGGAACGGTCCCTCTATATTCGTGCCCACATAGCAAGAGCATCTGGAGCGCATATGGAAAAATCTTAGTCCACTCCCATGTTCCTATCCACCGGGTAATGTGAGCTCTATAGTCTCACTTGGTCACTATTATATTATTCACTGAACCATCATGATGGGCCAACAGATACGTCCGCATTTATGCTCTTCCAGAATAAACCCGGGGTGAAAACTCGACGGACGAGTCATGGGCTGCGCTGAAATTTGACTGTCCTCAAACCTGAGGCTGCGGGTGAACAGAGAGAAAGAAGGTGAAGGCTAAATGGGCCCTGGAGCGGTGTTCGGTGCGTGCTATCTACACAATGCTTGGTCTACTAAAACCTTGATTGACGTATACAGCTGTTTGAGGAGACGTGTAAGGCGAGATGTCGCCGCTTAGTACTTTGAGAGTGTTGGCTGATTCGAAGGGTATCGTTTTGATGCACGGTGAGTTCGTGATGCTCTTGAAACATGTTGCCTGTGCTTTTCTTGCAAGGAAGACTTATTGTTCGCATATGCCCTTATGAGACGTACCTTCTGATGTATCTAGTGGAGTCGCATGCACCAATGTTCATTATTTGTCTTCCAATCCAGAACCAACGCCCTCTGAAGACACCGATACGTACACACTGCGTATCGTAGACTTGCATCGGCTTCCCTGTCACGGAAGTCAGATGGCAGCGTGGTCCAGCCGAAGAGACCCACCGCACGTATGAAGTCAAGGCAAACCTCACCTCCTTATCATCAGCGAATGAAGGCTGGTCCAGTTCTCGCGGGAAAGGCCCACGTAACAGACATTCTTCATTACCCGTCTGTGGGACAATCGTCTCCTTGAGTTACCCAACTTCGCAGACGATACGGGAAGCTTGGGAGATTGGCCAGGACCTGAGTCTTTGTCGATTTTGCTAGTGCGGCAGCGCGGTGGAGGATTGCCTCCGATCATGATACCATTGTACAAGTCAAAGACATGGCTTCCGTTCACACCGTGATAGAAGCCAGGACCCTAGAAATATCGTAGCTGGGTATATGTATTCTTTTGGAGTGAGCAGTTGTCAGTCATGTCTTCACGATATCTATTACCATTGCTTATAATTCTACTTATCTGCCGACTCAGATGGCACTTATGTATCCCAACGGACAGCAACCAAGAATTTCTGTCGCCATCATATTTGCAGCAGGTATCATTTGTGAAGAATCGTTTACTAGTATGACGTCTGCGTAAGATCACGAACACACTGAAATGCCAGCGAGGCCAGTTAAAATACCAAGCGCTGCGGCAGTATACTCAGACTCTTCATTTCATTATGACAGATGTGACCGCAACAACGTTCTTCGGTTCACCCTCTCAGTACGCAACGAGCAAGCGCCAATGTATACTGTACTTCAACACAATCGACGGGGCATGCGCAACCGCATCTCTGGTGAAATCAGTGTCCTTGTCCATTGTTATGTGTTATGACAAACTAGTACGGACATCATAAGTACCAGTCAGCTCCTCGGCTTGGACAACTCTAATATCAGACTACATGGTGGGTAGTTATAGAATTAAATACAAAGTACGATCCACTGTATGCTCGGTCACGTCCAAACCATATCCGAAATGTCTATAACGAATTCATCACTGCAATAATCGTCGTTACTAAGGCCTGCAGGTGTTGATTTTAGTGCGAGGGATACAAAGGGGTTCGAGGAGACTCACTCCTCTCGACACTTTTGCCAGTGCTGTCCATGTGCCATACAGCTCAAATCAAGCTCAGGACCTCCTCGGGGTATCACCAATGTAGTTGCAGGGTTGTAATAAAATAAATCTCGAGAAGCGGGGGGCACCCAGAATAAGAGCCGATTTTTGGGCCCTACAACCCATCCACTGTCATGATTCAGGATAAAGGGGGTTGAAGGGGTCGAACTGTAGTCGTCACAGGATGCTCCCTCCGTTAGCTCATGGGTGTTGCATAGCGCGTGAATAGAGTTGGACGAGAAACGAATGAAATGATTGTTCCAATTGTTTGAGCTCCCTGCATCCCACAGCCGAACAGTGGGATCCTGTGAACCAGAGACGATGCGAGTGCCGTCCGGCGAGAACGAGACCGACCAAACTGACGAGGTGTGCCCCCGCAAGGGCTCGCCGACTGGCTTCCCCGTCCCTGCATCCCACAGCCGAACAGTGTGATCCTCTGAACCAGTGACGATGCGAGTGCCGTCCGGCGAGAACGAGACCGAGTTTACTGAATGAGTGTGCCCCCGCAAGGGCTCACCGACTGGCTTCCCCGTCCCTGCATCCCACAGCCGAACAGTGTGATCCGAAGAACCAGTGACGATGCGAGTGCCGTCCGGCGAGAACGAGACCGAGTTAACTGAATCAGTGTGCCCCCGCAAGGGCTCACCGACTGGCTTCCCCGTCCCTGCATCCCACAGCCGAACAGTGTGATCCGAAGAACCAGT